TAAAAATATGCACTTATCGCTAAGCTGTGAAAGACCTTTTAGTTATAAACAGTTTGCAGCTGTGTCAAATGAATGCAGTTTCTGTTGTTCTGTACTAGATAACAAGTTTGCTTACCAGACTGGATGTGATTTCTGTTATAAATACCCCCCTGCTACCTACGTTCGGGGCGATCAGCCTTCTCCTGCGAGAGAAGTGGCTGACGGACCTGAGTTCAGTAAATAAAAGGCTCTATTCAAATCTCTATCTGGCTGATCTGGTTCCTATGCAGAGTTGACCCATAACATTAACCTCCGGTAAGAACTCAGCCCAGGAATCTTTCACGTTGGGGAGTTTCCTTCCCCTGCATGAATACAAAAGACGGAGCTTGATCGCGCTCCAAAATAAACCCAATTGTTTCACTGTCAGGGTGGAAAAAACAGGTGCAACAGAAATGCCCGTTATGTCTCTGGGAATTGAGGGGAACAGAAGCTCCCGCTGTCTGGATCACATCCAGCTGCAAACGGCGGGGGCGCCCCTGCCACTCTCACTGGGACACCTCGGTTACGCACCAAGAGGTGTGTGCTGGGCGAATTAAACAAAGCAGGTTACCAAGTACGGCCTTATGACTTGGAGTTGGGATTTGTCCCTTTGGGCTCAAAATTCCTCCAGCGCCCTGTACGTGGGAAGAGCGCTGCAGTGACAGGTTGCCACCTCGCCTAGCTGGAGTTTGAAAATGCCCGGGATCTTTTAGTGAAAAAACAACACTTTTCTCCCGATATATCAAGTCAGGGCCTTGGTACCGGTTTTAATACCTCAACTCTCCCTCTGCGGAAGCGGGGATTGAACTCAGGGCCTTGCGCAAGCGCTTAGTCCACTGAGCCATCTCTCCCGCCCACTCCCTCTGTCTTAAGCAAAGTTTTAATCTTGTTGAGACTCCGTTTTCTCGTTTGTGCAAGTGTGAGAGTCCCTGGCTCATGAGGGTGGCTGCTAGGCTGGGGTAGGTGGCGCTCGCGGAGGCGCCAGGACCGCACCCCTTCTCCAGGTGAGCGCAGCAGTCTCCTGCGGGCAAGAAGTCTCGCTGGCTTCGGGTGAAGTCTGAGGCTGGACGGCAGTGTCTGAGGGCCTCTGAGAAGCGCGGAGCCTCAGCCCCTCCGCAGGACCCAGGCGACGCAAGCGCGTAAGAGGACAAATCAATGTTTCCTACTCCACTGTTTGTCTCACTTCCTTTTGACCTTCTCCTCCGTCCCAGCTGGGGAGGACAGACAGGACGAGCGCATAGACAAACGGCATGTTGTGGAGATGACGGCAAGTGCCCAGCGGGGGGCTGCATCTGCAGAGAAGTGAATAAGCAACAGGGCGCGGGAGGGAGGAACGGCAGCAGCCTCGGTCCATTTTGCTGCCTGGCAATGGGTACTTTATACACAAGAGACATATTTTTTAAATTCTACAGGCTGGAAAATCCAAGGCCGAGGTGAGGAGGGGAAGAGAGCCCGTGTGCGCCCTAGAAAGTGAGGAGGGGAAGAGAGGGGCGCGGGGACAGCCACTCGTTTATCAGGCATTCAGCCCCAGGCCGCCCTGACCCTCCAGAATGAGGCCAGGGAGCTAGCTCTGTAGAATGCGCGCACCTGAGTTCAATCCCTGGTTCCGCCAAAACAAAACAGAATGGCTTTAATCTACTCCCTTGGGGGACTGCAAGCCAGCTTGACCCCACCACTTCTCAGAACTTAACTGGGGGGTCAGGCTTCCTGCACAGGGACTTTGGGGGTGCCATGCACCTGTTGAAAATATATGCTACAGACGGCAGGACCCCCTCTATATCGATTACAGAGTATAACTGACAGGACCAGAGAGGAAAATAAACGGACTCAGAGAAACCCAGAAGCAGCCCACCCGGGCCCCTCCCGCCTCTCACGGGCAGCTTAGTCCCCACTTCCTCTTCTGCAATGTTTCCTACTCTTACAGGATTGCTCCTCCTCTGGGAACGGGAGCTCGGCGCATCTGCCGCCCAGCTCTCCCCCTACACCCCCAGAGCCAGTACTGCCCGTGGGGCCCTAATGGAGACACAGAAATTTCTAAAGTTCCACGTGGGACTCACAGTTTTAAAATCCGGAAGCCGGGCCTGCCCTCCGCCCTCGGCGCTGCGCACCGCTGCGCCGCGCTCGGCCCTTTTTGCTCCTGCGGCCACCTTGGACGCTGTGTGCTGCGTCCAAGGCCTTACTTCTTGTTTGGAAGAACCGGGGCTCTGTCTCCAGGGAACGCGCCACGCCGGGGCCGCGCGGGGCGAGAGTAGCCCAGCCAAGCGGAAGGAGGGCCCCGCCCCGCCGGCGGGCCAGCGGAGAACACAGATCTGCAGGCTCGCGCGGACGACCTCGAGTTTCTTTTCAGAAAAGAGAACACGCCCACCCTGCTGAGCCCGCTAAGTGGCCCTCTAAGTAAAAGAAAACCCAGCCACTCCGGGGAGACAGGAGCCCTCCCCGCCGGCCCCCGGCAGCTGCGTCTGCCACGCCGCTCCTGGTGCTTTCGTTCCGAGCTCCTTGCCCCAAGTTATAAAATGACCTTTCGTGATTATTCTCTTGGGATCCACTTGAGTTGTTCAAAAAGTGCTCTAAGAGAGATAATAGGCAGTGACCCCTTGCACGAACCCTTTAATCTAGTCCCAGCGCTCCCTATTGTCAGCGCTGCCCACGGACCTGGCAGCCGGCCCCGCCCAGCTGGCCCTGGTACTGCCGCCCTCCCGCCAGGGTCAGGTACGTTCCAGTGGTGGCCACACAGACCCGCGGGGGACCAGGTCTCCTCGCCGCTGAACAGGGGGCGTCAGGTTTGATTCTGAATGAATATAGCTCCTCCGTCCATCAGTCTGAATACTTGGACATCCAGGCCGAATGCCTGGAATGAGGCTTCTCAGTTACTGCCCGGACGTGGTCCTTATTAATGCTTTCTGTAAGTTTTCTATTTATACTTCACGTACTTAATCTCTTAGACAAACTTATTGCTTCCTGTTTAATAGCCATTAAACCTTTGATGACCCACGCTGGGGATCAAAACCCACCTCCGTGTCTTTGGTGCATTAGGGTGACAGTTCCTTACCTCTGCATTGGTAGGCTAGCACACCTGCTCAACAGGAAGTAGCCATGGAAGACAGGTATTCCTCCCTCTGTACCCCTTAAAGATCTTGGTGGAGGTATGGCCGCGGAGATGGCTCAGTAAGCGCTTGCCTGGCAAGTGCAAGGGCCAGAGTTCAATCCCTGGCTCTGGAAAAAAAAAAAAAATCTTAGGGGATCTTGTCGCTTAGAGGGGAATTGTTAGGTTATGCGTCGGAGCCAAAAGACAAGAGGAGAAGACCCGAGGAATATAGCTCCAGAGGTCTCACTGAGATTAGTCTCTAAGCCATGCTAGAGCTACAGATGCATCTCACATTTATTGAGGGCTAAAGACAGCTGAGAATGTGCGTAACTACTTTGGTGAACAGACTACTGTGTTGACTTCAGGCATTTACCTAACCCGAAGTTTACACATGCTAGCCATTAACATCCCAAGCAAGGGATGGAACAAGGAACAGGGCGCCAGCAGGAGAAGCTGCTATCTGCAGCCTTGAATCCCAGCTTGCAGGGAATTTCCAAGAGAGACAACAGCTCTCCTGGGCTCCCTTTATTGCCCCTTTTCCCCCGGGGGACATTAGGCTTTTATCTCATATTGATACAGGGAGAAAAACTGATCTCGGGTGGGTGGCCTCCAAACCACATAGGGAACCTCCAAATGACACAGGGAAAAAGGATCTCCCAACCTGATCTGCATGAGTTCGTGTTTTCTAAAACCGAAGAATGAATTTTAGGAACAAACGGAGATTATGAGCAGAATATATTTATTGAGCAAAAGAAAGCTCCTGTCCAACAGAGGGACAGGAGGGGAGCCCCAGCGGATAGTTTCCCAGGAAACTGTCTCCTCCAGGGACTTTTATACTGTAAAATCATGCGGGGCTAAGGAGGAGAGAATGGGAACTCGCTTAGGTGGGCAGGAGGTGGGACAAAACTATGGTCAACCAATGAGATTACAAGCACCATTGCTCAGGTAAAATTGATTAAATCCACTATCAAATGGGAAAGAGAGTCGCGTAGCAAGTGCGAATGAATACGGGACAGGGTCTCTTCCTGATGAGAGCTGGGCTAGTGAATCACTTGGGTCTTTCCAGGTGATGGATACCTATTTAGAATATCAATCCCAAGTGCTACTCTTTTAGCATTTGTTTGGCCTTTAGGTCTTTAGGTCTGGTTCACAGCAGGAGCATCCGTCCATCCCTCCCATAGGTGTCTTTGTCTTCCGCGCTGTCTCCTTGAGGGCCTGGCCCTGTCTGACTGCCTATAATATTTTTATCTAACTCAGCTGCCTGCAGTAACATCTATATTTCTTTAGGGAATAGTGTGGCTAGTGTAGCTGGGGCAGAGGGACCTTGCCTCCTTCAGTCACCTGAACTTGGGCTGCACCCCAGGGCCAGTCTTCCTTCTGCTATTCTCGGAAACAGATGAAAGTAACAGAGACAGGAACTTTCTACAACTCTAGGCCAGAGGATGTGTGTGTTAGATTCTGCAGCTTGACCTGTCGTATATTTCTCCACTTGAAATTCATGAACAGTTCATACATGGGGACCCCATGTCATGCATGTGATTTTAACAGTGAATTATGGGAAAGTCCTGCACACTAGATACTTAAAGATCACTTAGTGCTGTCAGCCGTTTTGTCACCCATATCCTGAGGGATGCCCTAGGCAGCGCCCTTCTTTTTATTTTATTTATTTATTTATTTATTTATG